CATCTTCTGAGGTATTGAACTAAGGACATTAACATTATTCTGGGTCCATGCTGCTAACTTTATAATTTATAAATATACTGTTTATATAACTGCTTGTATTAACGTCCCTAGCGTAATAGGATAATCTTTAGGACCTTTGGTAATTTATCCTATGAGCACTCGTTGAATAATGGATGAAGGTTAATAGAAGTGTATTCATACAAATAGAATTTGGGGGCGATATGCTCCTTCATTGTATTTTCTTAAAACCATCAGGGGTTAATAAAAGGTTTTAACCCTATAAATATATTATTTACACAGTCATTCGGATTAATGTCCTTACATCATTAGGATAGTTCCTGGGACTTTCTGCAATGTACCCTGATGAGCACTTGTTGATTAATAGGCGATGGGTAATAAAAATGCACTCATACAAACAGATCTTGGGGGGCGATATGCCCGTCCATTGTATATTCTTAAGCACATCCAGGGTTAACTAAAGTGAGCTAAATGGGGTTGTAATAGGGGGCTGGTCGTTCTGACTGAACCCGCCCCTTTGTTTGATATGAGCCCAGGGATTTGTGGGACATTCATCTAGGAAAGTGTCCCACAAGATGATGTCATATCACTCTGATTGGTGAACCCGATAGAGGGGGAGGTACAACACCACTTTTAAATGTGGGCACAATGCAGTAGCAATTCAGCTCTTGATAAAGGCGGATAGTTACGCCAAAACGCACTTCGAGTCTATGTACTGATGCACTAATATGAGATTTACTTGATTTTATAACTTGTTTGTGTGTCTAAGGATGGAGGTTATTTACTTATAAGGTTGAGAGATACTACCATTTATTTTCCTGGGGCTATGACCTACTTAGTCTAGATTTAACCTTTATAAAGGGGGTGGCTGCCTCGAAGCAGCTGTATTCTAAGATAGATAGGTCTGGATAACGTAGTTTTGCTTCAGCTTCATGTATAATTTATATGAATATATACCTACACCCTAGCTGTGTAATTACTTCCTCCCCTTCCTTCCCCGATACTGCCTTTATGCTCTCTGCTGTTGGGAGTTACCCATTAGGACTATATCACTTTATCTATGTTTAAGCATTTTGTTTTACCCTTGCATCTAACACTGAGTTTAGATAAATGCTCTATATGAAGTAATATGTAAGCCAATCAATTGTACTTAGGGCATCCTAATGAGTATACTTTACTCATTCAGCACCAGTATCCGGTTTGGAGTTAACCTCAGGACTTTTCCTGTATAAACCACATAATCTACCTCAGTATTGTGGGTATTGACATTTATTTCAGTTGTTCTTTTTTTATCTCTACCAGCAGTTCAACTAAATATACCCCGCACTAGGATTATTTCACATTGATTTATGCTTAGGTATTTTGATTTACTCCTACATCTAATATTGAGTTTACACAAATCTTCTATATGAAGTAATACTTAAACCAATAAATTGTGAACTACTAGTACCTAGGGCTTCCTTAGGGTTAAACTTAACCCATTAAGCACCACTATCGGGTTTGGAGTTATCTTCAGGACTTTTTCTGTATGAACCACAGTATCTACCTTAGTATTGTGGGGATTGATGGAATTTACTTCAGTTTATTTCTTTCTTTCTTTCTTTCTCTATCTCCTCCAGCTTTGCAACGAATTACCGCCATTTTTTTTTTACATAAACGAGAGTCTTTTAATTACATCTACTTACTCAATTTAACCCCTGAGAGCTTGAGTACTTCCCAACAGGATTTCTTTGTAAACTTGTAGCTGTTTGTTGCTACCGTAGAGGTGGATTGATTTAAATGTGTAGTGCTTCTCTCTTCTAATACTATATCCCGTTCACTTGAATTTGATATTTTGCTGTTTTTGATACATACCAATCTGGGATATAGCTTAAATTTCATTTTAGTAGCTCACACTGTTTCCATTTTTTTTAATACAACTTACACTGAGCTATGTAGGTTTCCCCTCCTTTTTAATTTATTTTATGTGAATTTACATCACTCGTTTTCAGTCAGCTACAAGCAGCATGCCTCCATTATACTAGCCCTTAGGAGCACTAGTTGAAAACAAGTGGCTGCTTTTTTTTTGTGTGTGAATTCTTTATTTTTGTCGTGCAGTTGGTTACAAGGAATTGACAGACGCCACAACAGCGTATTGCAAGAGTTACTAGAGTTAGGTAGTGGCATTAAAGTTTGCACATTTTTTATATACATATTTTTTATCATGCTTGACTGTACTGTTAGAACGTCAGAATAAAAATATAAGTAAATAAAACAATTAATGCCTAACATCGTTATTCTAACTATGCCAATATAGTTATGATATCACAGGCTAAGCATGCTTGCATATTTTTTATGTTTAATGCAGTTTCTAACATGCTAGTCAGGGATGTCTAGGTTGGGTGAGCTTGTAGCAGGTTCATGAGTAGTTCTAGACAAAGGTACTAGAAAACTAACAAATAAGAAAATAATAAATATAATTAAACAATAATTTGAGCATTTTAGTTTACGTTCCATTCAATTTAAGTATTGCAAAACATGCCTATTCTGGTACATATGCTGTCACTGAGAGTTAAGATAAGGCTTATACTAAACACGCTATTCTAAGGACTCACTGCTGCATATCATTCTATGGTTGTACAAAAAGTTGTAGATCAACGTTTATCATCTATTAGTTTGAGAATTCGAACAAGTTTATATTTTTAAACATGCGTAACTAAAGAGGTAGATAGGTCGTTGAAATGAGATAAACTAAAATACAGTGAAACACCCTGACGATTAGTTGTCAGTTCTATTCTGCTGTGCTATCATAGTCATGGCATATAGGCACGGATTGCATAATAGTAGTAGCTGGTTGAGTTAATGTATGTCAGAGATAGTTCAACCTGCTTGATATGCTCGTAAAAATGGCTCGCTGGGCATGTGAATATTTGCAAGTGTAGTTATACACCAACGCGCTACTTAGTTAATGCACCCCTAGGTGCGGTATGGGCAGTAGATCTCCCTGCAGTGCCATTTAATGGCGTGTGGGGAGATAGAGAGGGAAAGTAAAGTATAAAGGAAACCAAAACATAATACTCAGGATTGGTTGGTCAGCGTGTCTGCAGTCTTGTCTAGTGCATCAGGGTGGTAATCAGAGAGAGTACAGTTTTAAATGCATTGTGGTGGAGGTCCTTAAACACTGTTCAAACAGATAGTCCTGGTGATTCTTAGCTGGAGTGAGAGTTCATACATTTGCTAGGCAAAAAGGGAAAAACATCCCGGTGAGCAGTCCCGAGCTCAGAGTCCCGGTTCAAGTAGTGGCTGCCGCATAGGGTTCCGTGGGTCGTTGCTGTGGCACAAATTCCGGTGCTCTGGCCGAGTTCTTCCCAAAGCTGCTGCTTGTGGGACCCCTCTGCACCACAGGGTTGTCAGAGGGAGGTTTAGCTTCTCTAAGGCCCCTGTGGCCTCTTGTAGGTTTCCGAGCTAGCACAGGGGTGTTTGCGCCCTCTATGCGCAATATCCGGCCAGGTCCCTAGCGGTATCGGATCTGTTGCTGCCGTAGGAGGGAGGTGATCTGCCGGAGGGACCTTCTCCAGGACAGTGTACCACTCGATACATCCGCATAGAAAGAGAGGGACGTTTCTTCAAAGGTATATGCTAACAGGCCCTTGATGGCATCGAGTACTGCCCTTTTGTCTCTTGCTGTTTGAAAGCGGAGGATTACCTCTCCAGTGGGCACCGGTGGTGCTGTAATCGGCTTTGGGGTGCGAAAGATCCCATCCAGCGTGATCGTTTTTGCCACTTTTGGGGTCAAAAGCGTGGTTAGCAGTCGCCTGGCGTAGTGAGGGAGCTCTGCCTCTGGTATGGAGTCCGCGACCCCTCTTAGCTTCAGGTTATTTTGGCGTCTCCTATCTTCTTGTGTGGCCAACTGCATGGAGTGTCGCTTGCTGTTTCAGATCGCAGACTGCCGCTTGCAGTTCCGCGATTTGGCTTGTGTGGTCTCTGGAGGTGCTTTCCACAGTTCCCAGCAGGGCGGACAGGCCTTTCAGGTCTTCCCTGATCGTTGCCACCTCTGCTGAAATTTTCTTGTGGTGGGTGGCCATAAGTTCTGTGATAGCCTCCATGGTTACCGGTGTGTGGGTTGATGTGGGTGGCCGTGGTCTCTCAGGTGGTGGTGGTACGCTTGTTGGTATGAGGCTTCCTTCTCCTTCGTCGGATGTCTCATCCAAAAAGTCTGTATATCCTCCATGCAGGGACTCCATTGTTGCGCCCACGGACTCGTGGGCCTGCCTCCACATGTCCCTGATGTTCATACCCTGACGGGGCTTGTCGGGTTTTTGTTTTTTTTCATTTTTTTTTGTCCATGTTTGTCAGGTGTGTCTAAGGGCACTTTGGGAGTCCGTTGGGCAGTGTTGGGCTCCGATATTAACAGATTTGAGCAGTTTCAATCGGGAGCTCCTCGGCCATGGGACTATCCGTGTCAGTAGCTAGACTCCGCCCCACAAGTGGCTGCTTTAATAGCATATTTCTGTGGAAAGAATTTCTCTTTCAGAAATCTCAGGAACAGCCATACAATATCAAACACTTGCAATAATGCCCACTATCAAAGTCAGGATTTAAAGGCAAGCATCCAAATCACTGATTTACTGAATGACAAATCTTTTTTTTACATATATTTAAGTGAATACATATTTAATCCATGGCCTATTAGCTGCCTTTAAGAGAAAAATACAAATTGATACAAAATTATTTAGATAAATAACTTAATGCTTCAAAACACAGTTGCCTTGGCAAATGTGATGAAAGAATGATCAGTTCTGGATTTCACTGAGTAGGCATGAGAGTGTGATAATACATTTACATAACAAAGGTTAAATCTTAGCACATTTAATACTATTTATTTATTCACACACATCAGCCAGGTTTTTAGCCAATTTCAAATACCAAATATGTATTGGAAATTGCATGCTGATGCACATTACATTTATGCCTCAAATACCTGTTGGAGCACCTTCCTCACACTATGTGTAATAAAAAATGCCTGATGAAAAAGAACAAGGGAGAAAGAGGGAAGAACATGAACAGAATAAAGCAGAATATAGTAAAAAATGGAAACCGGGTTTAGTTATTGGTGAGCAATTTAAATAGAGGAGAGAGAGAAATTCTACGAAGAGAACTCAACATCCCTTTTTTAATGGCTGGGTTACTCAGCAACATTGCTTTTTTAACTGTATACCTTTCTGTTTTTTTTCTGTTTTCCTGCCACTATAGATTTCCCCTTTGTCAAGGCCCCATCCTGCAGCATTGAAGGAGTTAATAACCCCACCCCCTGATACGTCCACCAGGGATCCAGTTCTCCAGGATACCCTCAACTAACAAAGATAATAACCCATTCCTGCCAAAAGGAAAAGCATAGCCTCTGGCATGCACAGTATTTAGCCACAATCAGCCACCACACACAACATTCAACCATCACACAAAGGCACAGCCTTCCCCTAACACATACATAACTTAGCCTTGTCAAGACACAGCAAGCCACACTCAGGCCCCCATCCACATACACAGCCACCACACACACACACACACACTGGGCTTCCTGCCTAGGGCCATGGGTAATGTTAATCCAGCTCTGTAGGCAAGTACTTGTCCAACATTGGACATATTTAGAAATATGGATTTATCTATAGCTTTTTTATTATTATTAATTATATAGATATTATGTGTCATCACTGCAAAAATAAGAATCACTTCTGGAATTAGTCTTTAATGCACTGGTATTGACAGTTTTACCACATGCTCAATTATTTTTTAATTTTTTTATTCTTAATTAAAATAAGAAAAATTAAAATTAAACATAGAAAAGAGACTATTTCAAGAAAACTGAATAGTTTGAACAAAGTACAAATTACACTTATACTAACATTTTTTTTTCTGTTACATTTTACTCCACAATTAAATTGACTAAAATTGAACTTGCAAATTTGTTGTATTTCAATTATTTACTTTGTCAAAACATACTGACATAAAGAGAGCATGCTTATTTATAAGATGGATATTGCTTAATAATAATCGTTCAGTAAAACACTCAGTTCTTACAGCAATAGCAAATTGAACAATGGGAGCAGATTGAGAAAGTTGAATTGGCAAACACTGTAAAACATACTGATTAACATAATTACTATACACAAATCATGCAATTAAACATATAATGCCTACATTTATGCTACAATACATTTTATGGTTACTCATCCTAGTGGTATTATGTATACTTTTTCCTCAATACAGTATTACTTCAAGGTGTAGAGCGCAGCAATGAAACAGTGAATGCTTTTTCTCATTTATATTTTATGGCAAGTTTACAATAGAAATTATTATAACATTTATAATGCTTAATTATTTGAAGTATTACCAGTAAGAGCAATCATGCATATGACATGATAGTCATCTGAGAAAAATGACAAAATATTTCATTGCAGTTGTGTGCTTTTAATCAAAATTTCAGTCTACGCAGAGATTTTGATAAAAGAAGTGCTCTCCTTCAAGTTTGCGTGTGTATATATATATATATATATATATATATATATGTGTATATATATTTATTGCTTAAGGGGCGGAGGAGGGAAAAAGGGGAACGGTAGAGAAAACGTAGAAAAGAAAAGAAAAACCCCAGACCTCAGAGAAAATCCAAAAATAAACATATTGGAGTTAGTCCGATTAAATAAAAAATAAAAAAGTTAGTCCAATTAAATAAAAAAATATATGTGTGAAGTATAGATAAACCAAAGGATCAGTTTGTGGCTGTCAAGACAAAACCTTTGTATGTACTCTGCTTTCAAAGTTTCTTTCAAAGTTTCTCTCTAGATATTGTACTTGTCCACTCAGGCATTTTTATAAAATAATTGCTCTCCTTCAAGTTTGCGTACTAGAAATCTAAAGATCAGAATAGCAGAACAATGCAGGGATATTCTAAAGGGTTTCAGTAATCATACAGTATCCAAACACTTCTTGGTACATAATAAAAATCCAAAACTCTTAAAATGTTATGCCATAGAAGTTTGCACTTTAGCATGGAGAGGCGCCAATATCAAAAAAATTCTTGGACAATGTGAAATTAAGTGGGTCTTTTATTTGAAAACATTAATCCCCACTGGTCTTAATTCAGATTTTTATTTATTTAACTTTTTATAACCCCCTTTTTTTCTTTGGAGTTTTAATATATATAGACATTTTTATAATTTTTTATTCAACTTTTATTTTTTTCATTCTATATGTCCCCCCCCCTTTTTTTAATATTGCTTCCTCTTTTATATACTTTTTTTTTTAATATTGCCTCCTCTTTTATACACTTTTATCACTTTTTACGACTTGTTGTTGTTGTAGGTTTTTATCTACCTTCCCCCTTGCTATTTTATTTAAATATTGAATTGTATTTATATATCTTTATTTGTAATGCCTTAGCTGTTCGCCATCTTTACATAGTTTTTCATTATTCCTTAAGCTGATCTCCATAATAGTGAAGTCCTCAGCTATATAGCGGGTGCCATTTTGGCGAAGCCCAGAAACCTTTAGGAGGCTACAATTCCCTCAAAAGCCCTTGTTTTTTGGCACTACTGACCCAGGTTGCCCCTCCCCTAGCCCCCATAACCAGTGGGCTGTCATGAATTAAGTTTTTATTTATAAAGTGGGCGCCATTTTGGGGAAGCCCGGCCGCCATTAGTGGGCTCACCCTTTAGCCTCCATAACCAGTGGGCTTTAGAGTTCATATTACCTGCCTTAACGTACCACTTAGAGTTTCCATTTAACAATGTTCCAGGCTGCAGTTAATAAGAACAGCTTTCATAGTGTAATAATATTGTCTTTTTTGTGCTTTATCAGGAATGTTGCGTCTTCAGGCATTGTCAGTCTAACACAGGGGTGCCCAAAAGGTAGATCCCCAGATGTTTTAAAACTTCAGCTACCATAATGTTGTGTTAAACCATTCTAAAAGCATGCAAAACATCATGGGAGTTGTAGTTATACAACATCTGGGGATCTACCATTTGGATATATGTCACTCTGAATTTTGCTTAGATACATTTTTCCTCATCTAACCCGAATTCCTCATCAAACACAATAAAGACAGGCATTTCACAAAGCTCTTGATAAGTTTGACTGGTTCACTATAACTTCAATAACCAGCAATGAAATATGTAGCTCCTTTAACTCCTTAAAGACACATGACATGTGTGACATGTCATGATTCCCTTTTATTCCATAAGTTTGGTCCTTAAGGGGTTAAAGTTTCATTTTTGATTTAGAGAGCTTTTTCTTGTAGATTTTTGGTCAGATTATACTCACTGTGATAGTTGAACAGTTGGATAATACATTTTCTAAGCCATACAACTAAATTTTAGCATTCCTTTCTTTTTTAAAAACATTATATTTCCTTCCTATCCATAAGTTGACCAAATATGTCTCAAAATTGCTTTATTTATCTGGAAAATGTAAACACTTTAATGGTTCACAGGTGGAGGTCAATGGTATCACAGTTGTATCCTCATTAGGGTAATATAATCATATTTGTAAAGTGGAATCTTTCATGGCATGATGTTTAAATGCTTACTGAAGCAACACATTTCCATCTTTTATGTTTCTCAAATGTGTTTTCTAACATTACTTTAAAACCAACTGCATTTCTGTTTACTATTTTCCATTCACATGCTTATTCACTAGAGTAAGATTTGCTGGGAATTCAGAAGTGAATTTCAAATTTAAGGTCAAAGTAGCTGAATTGGATGCATAGGTGAATTTGTCCGATTTGGTTATTTGGCCTTTAACTTCAAATTCATCTTGAATTCACAATTTGCAGCAATTTTTCCTATAGTGAATAATCCTGACAGTGGGTTGAGATAACTGGCCAGATTCTGAATACTTGGTCAAGACATTGTGTGCTATATAAAGTTATGCGGAAGCAGTGATTTATAGTGTTCAAATCAAACTAAAATATTGTAAATTAAAGATTGAAATTAAACCTTTATTTTGTGTAAAGTGCTTTTCACCGCATCTGGCTTTGCATCATAGGGAGTCTGGAAAGGCTCAGTCTGATGTAGCAGCCTGATGCAAATGCCTGAAAACATAGTGCCATAAAAGACTTCTAGTGCACACACACTATTCCAAACATGCTATATTAATAAACACATAACTATATCTCTCATTAACAGGAATTATGTATCAGAAGTACAATGTGAGTTCAAAGGCAGGATCACCATTAATGCACCATATGTATCAGTCCAGCTGTAATTTAACTAAATATTCAACATTCCACCACCAAATCATATTTAGTGACGTGTGTGCTCAGGATCATGTGATATGTACTTTAATAATACCTGGAGAGTGCCTGCAGCACGTTTTACCATACTGCACATAGCACAATAAAAAAAGCTTTTAGTCCATAGTTCTTCAAAGCTAACACTACAATGTCTTGTGCCCCCCTCACCTCCAACACACATACACAATGAAAGGGTTAAAAACCCTTTACCCACTTACCTTATTTCAGTACCAACATTCCTCTGCATTGGCTCTGTCTCCACCTCTTCCAATGTCAGCATGAAAGGGGGAGGGGCAAATGTGCATATGCAGCACACACATTGGAAAAGCATTGAATCAATGATTTTCTATAGGAGTTTGCATGTAGCTGGATGACCTCAGCTACTCCATGAAACTGCAGGAAGCAACTAACGTGCCCGTCTGGGAGATAGCTACTAGAAGCAGTCTTAACCCTGCACTGTAAACACTGCAGTTTCTCTAAAATTGCAATGTTTTACATTTCAGTGTTAAGGGGATAGGGACAGTGCACCCAGACCACTTCAATTGGGCCTATAGTGTTCCTTTAAAGCTATGGAATTAATTGTGCCTACCCATTTCAATTTTAATGTAGTTTCTTTCTTTTACTGTTTCAGAGCTGCATGCTAACTTTTAAACAATTCTATCCCAATTGTGAATGGGAGCAGCATTTAGATCTTTGGATTTATTTTTGACAGAATCAAGAATAAAGTAATTATTTAATAAAGCTAGTGGAGATACCAGGTTGTCTGAATGTCAAAAAAATTGTAGGATGCATCAATTTATTAGAAATGCATTGCCCTAGCAATATAGTGCATCTAAGTCAGTTTAAATTATTGCAGGCTATTATTAATTGCCACATTTTTTGCAATCTACAAAAGACAGTACATATTCAATATGCAGTGTTCTTCATCTTAGATAACTTTTTAACCACATTCATTTAAAAAAAGAACTGATCCCTTGTCCAGTACAGAGGTTGTTCTTTAAATTAGGGATTTATTCATTATACAGTAAGGTGTAGTTGATTGACTACCTAAATGCAAAATTTAGTGACTAGAAAAAACTCAATTCACCAATAAATAAACTGTCATGTAAATAAACCTCATAACATTAATTTTGTCAATAAATAAGATGGTAAATTATTGTTGTAAATGAATATCATAAAATATATCAACTTAAAAAGTCTCATTGGCCATATTTTTGTGAATAATGGGCTTAGTCAATTGGTATTGTTTTGTACGTCTTTTTTTTTTACCACACTGACAAAGCAACAGTGTCTTAAAAGTTGTTCTGAATGTCTTATTGCAAAGAGCATAACACATTGGATTAATTGTGCTATTGATATAACAAAGCCAATATCCAAGATTCCAATATATGCGAGGGATACAACTTTCACAAAATGTATTGACTAAAACCATTATGTTATATGGAGCCCACGTTATGATGAAAGCTAACAAAATTGCACTAAGTGTTTGTGCAGCTTTTTTTTCTTTGATAAGAGACATTCTTTTCCGTTTTGTGATCTGATTTCGTGTCTTTGCTGCAAATCTTTTAGCTAACGTTATTTCTTTGAAAGATATAAGTGCATTTGTCTGAGCAGCCACAGTCATATTTTGTAGCACCTGAGGATGTGACACAGTAGATCTTGATTCATTTTGTAAAGTCCCTTTGTGTGCAATACTTTTTTGGGAGTTAATACTTTGAAACTTGATCTCCTTTTTGATTGAGTGTGTGTCTAATTTGAGGTGTGTGGTTTGATTTTTTCCTGATGATATGTTTACTTGGTTAGTATCCGGACATTTTTTTGAACTAAGAATGGAATTATGTCCAGGAAGCTTTAACACAATGGAAAACAATGTTCTTGGATTTTCAGAAAACTCTTCTTCATCGGAGGTGCCTGAGTTATCAAGTGATGCATTTGCATCAACATTGTTCCAGCTCTCAGTGCTACTTTGATCTTGATCTATCTTCTTTGTGTTTGGTTTGAAGAACTTTGCTCTGTAATGATGAGAACACCACCGATATCTGCTAGAAGAGAATTTTAATTTCTTCTGGGTTTTGTTGTAGCTGTTACTTCTAGAACCTCTTTTTTTATTAGCAACTTGAGTTACCTCTGCTTTAGTTCCAGAAGCTTGCAGACCTGCCAGTTCTTTTGTACGTTTCTCGGTTTCTCTATAGATTCTCCAGTATAGGATTGTCATAATTGATACTGGAAGATAAAATGCGGCAATTGCAGTTCCAAATGTAATGATAGGTTCTGTCAAGAACTGGATAAAGCATTCATCAGAGGGGACAGTGCGCTTTCCAACAAAGTATTGCCAGAACAATATAGCTGGAGCCCAAAGTATAAATGATATTGCCCATGCCAAGCCAATCATTATCCCTGCTCTTTTAGTGGTTCTTTTAGTCCTGTAAGTTAGTGGCCTTGTAATGGAAAAATATCTGTCAAAACTGATAACAAGAAGATTCATGACAGAAGCATTGCTTGCCACATAATCAATCATAAGCCAAAGGTCACAAGCAAGACTACCCATAGCCCAGTGATCCATGATAATATATGTAGTAAAAAGATTCATGGATATTACACCAATAATGAGATCTGCAAAGGCAAGGCTCAGTAAAAAATAATTGTTGACTGTTTTCAGTTGTTTGTTAATCTTAAAGGCTAAGATCACTAATATGTTGCCTATAATAGTTACAATAGCAATAGTCCCACTAAAAAATGCAATTAAAACAACTTGCCATACACTGTGCCCGCCTAAATAATCCTTCTGAGTGTCATTTCGAGATGCTGAATTATTGATTTCAGCTAAGACATAAGAGGAATTAACAGTGAGTTGGGGAATATCATATGTCCCGGGGGAAAATACGGTTTCATTATGGTGACTTGTAGATGTCGGAAGTGTTTTCAATATCAAACTTATGTTTGATAGCAAAGTGTATAATGTGATATTTTTTTGGTGGAGCATGTTTCTGTAATCTGAAAAAAAAAGAGAAAAATAGATTAGAATTCTTTTTTACTATAACATCTTAAAAGCATGATTCAATATCGTCTATACTATGAAATAAAATAATAGTAAAATTTGATTAACAAGGTTGGGAATCCCTCTATACCACAGAACCAAAATAGAACAAATTTTGTTCCAGAGGTGTAACTAGAAACCACGGGGCCCCAGTGCAAAAAGTGCCCTGGGACCCCCCCATATGTCTCATCCCCCAAGCCCCCCCAAGCCCCTTCATGTGTCACACTCACACCCCTAAATGTGTCTCATTCATACAAACACACACTGACATACATGCAGATACACACCATATAACACATACAGATACATAAACGGACATACATGCTGATACACAGACACACACTCATGCAAATGCAGACACACAAACTAACAGACATATACAGACACATATTTACACGCAGACACACATACAGACAGATACACATACACACAGATACACATACACTTAAGGACAAACATTCAAATACGCAGAATAACACACATACAGATACACATGCAGACAGACAGATACACATACAAAAACACATGCACATACTGACACACATATATACACACACACACATACAGAGACACAAACACACATAGAGACACACACACACATACATACAGAAACATATACATACATACATACAGAGACACACATACATTAAGACACACACACAAACACACACACACATGGAAAATGGTTTAGTCACCCTCCTGTTTCCTGCCTTTTAGGTGCAGGAGGGTGACTTCCCTGGGGTCCAGTGGCTCAGGCTGATGGGAGTCAGAGTTCCAACTCTAACTCCCTCGTCTCCTACAACGCTCTGTGTAAGCTGGGAGGAGTGACCTGGGCTGTCACTTCCTCCCAGCTCAGTCTGACCTTATTACAGGGGGCTCAGTTGCGCTGTTTAAGCGCAACTCTGATTGGGCCCCCTGGAAATACATAGCATCGGTTGGTCCTAACAGCATGGGCCACCCGATGGGCACCTGAATGTGCGGCCCCAAAGGTTCTACCGTGCGGGCCAGGGCCGCAACACATGGCCGGCTGGGCACCGCGGTTCCAGGGGTCCACACGGCGGCCGGGCCCCCTGGAGTGAGAGGCCCGGTCACAGTTGCGACCCCCTGCAACCGCGGTAGTACCGCCACTGGCTGTACCCGAAACAATAATGCTTCTTCTGATGAGTACTACATATAAATGACTTCTAGCAATATTTCTTATTTTAGATATATAAATCACAACATTTGGGTTAATTCCTCATAATGGATTATAAATGACTACATAGAAGGCATAAAAAGCAAAATCAATCTTTTGTAAATGCTTTAAAAATTAAAGAAAATTGTCACGCTTTTCACTTCTGAATTATATATATATTTTTGTAGCAAAGAGCATAATTGTGTCATATATTAAAAATAGATTGCCATAATTCATTTTTAATGACTACTCAAGCTAATCTCTGTTAACAACATATAATAGTTAGCATAAAGAAGGACTTGATGATGTAAGTTAGAAATATTTCCATACACATATTCTGTACAGGGTTTTGAATTTGTTTGTCCTTTAAATATTGGATTTATATTTTCTAATTTGAATCAGATTAACATTGTGTATTAATAATTATGGGTTAATTTAATAAAAGAAGCATAAGTATAACAGAAAAGGTACAATATACTTTGTTTAAACAATAGCTAACGTAGATATCTATCTGTCTATCTTTAAAAATTCACTTGGAGTCTGTTGCAGTCCACACTTAAGGAATAACCCTATTATAGGAAAACTGCAAGAAATGTCCAGCAACACAACATCAGGGTTTATTCACTCTTAGAACATCCAATAAAACACATCTTTTGACACATAGACTGTGTGTATCATAGATAGAAGACAGGTTTACTTCACTGTGAAATGTGACATTTTCTGCTTATACATATACTATAAAAACATTGCGAAATTTGTTATTGTTCATCTTCATAATGAAAAAAAAGATTTAAAATACATATGTTATTTCTCCAGAAATTTATGTTTCATTTCATGTCAACATTACCAATTTATACCCCAATTACTCTGAATTATGCTTGCAAGTGTTTTTTTACTCTGTAAGAGTCAAGTATGGACTGGCTAAGACATTATGCTGTCACTGAGTAAGCCTATATTTTTCATCAGCTGACCACTCTAAACCAATCAGTGATGCCCCTGTCCAACTGAAACTAAGATTCAAAACCCAGATGCCACCTGGGGGACCTGCAAATCAACACTGTAGGCTCACTTTGGGGTTTAACCCCTTAACCCCTTAAGGACACAGCTTCAGAAGCTTGACTTACGCTTAATGACACAAGCAATTTTTGCATTTTCTTGCTGTTTGCGTTCAACTGCAATTTGCATCTCTCTCATTTATTGCACCGACACATATTATATACTGTTTTTTAAAGGACAGAAAGGGCTTTAATTTGATATAACATATATATATATATATATGCTTACTTATTATAAAAAAAATACAGAAAAATGCAAAAAAAATGAAAAATATTGTTTTTTTTTACAGTTTTTGCAATAATAATGTGTGCATAATTAGTGCAGGTTAAGGAAAGTAATTAAAAATAAATTTATTTATTTGTTCTGATTTACAGAATATATAATGTGTCTGGGATTTTAAGTTTTTTTTGGTAGTTACAGGTCACAAAGCACAAGGAGTAAAATAAACTTTTAATGTGGAGCGATTTTAGAATTTGGTATGTTTGTCTTGTAAGCTTAATAGCCATAAAAGAAAACAAAATTGCCACACAAAAGTATATATTTATATAAAGTAGACATCACGGGCTATTTACCTAAGGTTGTTTTGACACTTTCTACGTAGCCATTTCACCGCCAACCTCTGCTAAATATTGGAGTAAAATTGTGTTCTTTTTGGTTTTTGGCACACAAACTTATAACAGAGAAATTCTCGTGTATATTTTGTAAAGTTGGTGTGTGCTATTCCTGTACAAAGTTTTATTTTGTGTTCAGTTACATCTGCTGAGTAAAATGACACCCCCATTGTATGTCTTTTGCACTATTTCGTGAAGTTACAGTGCCATACAGGATACCTGTCCTTTTCAGTATTCACAGTAGAATTTTGAGAGATGGATTTAATGAGCCTTAGCTTCCATTTTGGGGTATTATAACAGTTTGACTGTTCAAAAAACCCCCCACAAAGGCCTACCATTTGTAAAAGTAGACACTCCAGGGTATCTTATAAGGTGCATATTGTGGCTTAACATGCCCCCATTTTTTCACCAATATATGCCAAAGTATGTGGTAAAAAATAATTTTGTGCATTTTTTACATACGGATTGCATTTTTGCTGGGCGTTTTGTATATTTCATATGTGCCACTAAGTTCAAACCCCCAAATTATGCTCAGCTAAGTCTTCTGAGTAAAATGACACCCCATATGAATGTCTTTGGCACTATTTCGTGAAGCTACAGTGCCATATAGGAGACCTGTCCTTTACAGTATTCACAGTAGAATTTTGAGAGATGGATTTAATGAGCCTTAGCTTCCATTTGGGGTATTATAACAGTTTGACTGTTCAAAAACCCCCACAAAGGCCTACCATTTGTAAAAGTAGACACTCCAGGGTATCTCATAAGGTGCATATTGTGCCTTAACATGCCCCCATTTTTTCACCAATATATGCCAAAGTATGTGGTAAAAAATAATTTTGTGCATTTTTTACATACGGATTGCATTTTTGCTGGGCGTTTTGTATATTTCATATGTGCCACTAAGTTCAAACCCCCAAATTATGCTCAGCTAAGTCTTCTGAGTAAAATGACACCCCATATGAATGTCTTTGGCACTATTTCGTGAAGCTACAGTGCCATATAGGAGACCAAGCCATATCCGTTTTTACCAAACTTTGAATTTTGACGCTGGGCCTATGTGCAATTTCCAAGCATCTTCGCAGGTTTTAAATTCAAACTACCCCACAAAGGCCTACCATTTCTTAAAGTAGACACCCCAGGGTGTTTCAAAAGGTATAGTTTGAACCTTAGCGTGGGATCATTTTTCCGCTAGCTTGTACCAGATGTAGTGGTAATAAGCGTTTTTTCTGCCTTTTTGACATACAAAGTGAGTTTGCACAGTATATTTTGCAAACCTTATGTGTGCTACGACTGTATAATACTTCATATGTTGCTCAGCTATGTCGGCTGAGTACAGCAATACCCCCGTATGTACCTTTGCCAGGTATGTGTGGACATCGGAGGGGCACATTTGGGACACAGCCATTCCAGTTTTTTTCAAACTTTGAATTTTTATGCTGTGCCTATGTCCCATTTTAGAGTATTTTACCAGGCTATATAATCCAAATTCCCCATAAAGCCATACCATTTCTTAAAGAAGACATCCCAGGGTATTTCAAAAGGCATATTTTGAACCTTAGCGTGGGATCATTTTTCCGCTAGCTTGTACCAAGTGTAGTGGTAATAAGCATTTTTTCTGCCTTTTTGACATACAAAGTGAGTTTGCGCAGCATATTTTGCAAACCTTA